ATGTAAAAGTGGCCAGAGTAGACACCTAAGTCCACAGTACCTAGGACTCCAGGGGGGAATGGTTTCTTGTTACTTCTTCAGGTCACATCGAAATGCTTAGCTCAGAACTGATCCTCCACAAACTGCCTTGACCATGCTACCGTCACACTGAGTATTCTGCCTCAGATGCTGTCACTCACAACTCCAGGGTCTGCCCTCTTACTGTTGACCACTCCCCTCACTTTTGCCAGGCAACTTCTGGCATGCCCATCAAGCTTCCACTCAGAAAGCAAAGAGGAAGTTTATGCTTTTAAAGAAAGATAACAATCTTTGAAAAATAGTAGAAACAGTTGAATGACTAATGCCAAAGTTTATCAACCTTTATGGTCTTGAGAGATTACAAGCACTTCATAGTATAAATTTAGGCTTATTCTTTCTGGTCACTGATTTTGAATATATTATTGGTTAGGTATAAGACACAGTTTAGGGGTAGATTAGGAATAAAATCTACTCCTTGCCCTTGAGGAGCTTGCAGTCCAGGGAGGAGATGGGAGACACCCAGGGAAGTATAGGACTCAGGTCAGAAACCTCTCTGTGAGGGCTTCCTGAGGGAGCCACACACAGCCCTGAAGAGCAGCTTGCACAAGGCATGCGGCCATTTCAGGAGTTCTCAAAAGGGCTGTACTTTAAGGCTGATAGGGCTAAATTAAGTTTTGGTTTCTCTACTGCAGGCTGACCAGTCCTTACTCCTCATGATAGTCCAACACAATGTAGCACCCACAGTCACCAGAAGCAGGCTCATCTTTCAAGACCAGGTGGAAGAAAAATATTCAAGTTTTCTAACAGAGTTGCCTACCTGGATAACAGGGCATAATATTTCCCACCTAGGACAGAAGGTGACCAGAGCTGTAGTATCCGGGTTGTTCTAGGAAGACAGTCCTTCACCCTCTGAAAAGTTAGAGTATGTAGAAACTTACATGACTCCTAACGAATCATTAAAAGTAAGTAATGGAAGGGTTTTGGAAATATGGAGTCCTCCAAATCCTCCAAATCTGTGACTCCCTAATAAGTCCAATTTAACTAGTACTGAGGTAAAAGTACCATTAATGGATTGTGAAATGTATTTTGTCTTGTCTCTTAATTATTTGTACATAGATCTTTTTTCCCTCTGGCACAGTTCTTACGAATAGTCACTCTAATTCTGCATTAGAACCTGCTGTTTTTCCACCATTTTAGCATATCAGTAACACTAGCAAGTCTTGGAGTAGGTTACATTATATCACACCTAAAACTTACTCTTGGCTAAAATCTTAAATCCATGGGATGAATTATAGATTTAAGCAAAAGCCATTATGTACTTAATGGCATCAAAATTTTCCATTACAAATATTGTTTTTACTCTTCCTTAATTTGAAAAAAAAAAAAAAAGTGCCTTGAGGGGTCTTTGAATTTCCAAGCTTTCTAGGATCAAAGATTTCTTCAGCTGTCTGAATTGTAAGAATGTTGAAAAACAAAAAACAAATCCTTTTTCTACTATAAAATCCTTGCCATGTTTTTATCTTTATGTAACTCAAAACAACTGAACTGAGAAACGAGGCTGGTGAGTTTTGTTCAAAATCTAAAAATTCATCAGAAATGAAGTAATTGATAATTCCAAAAGGGTCATTCTAACAAATCTGATCATGAATACATTTGTAGATTCTTAGCTGTTGATCCAGAAAATTGCTGAATGGCACTTGTAAGAGAATAAAATAGGTATGGCTAAGGATGCCAGAATATTTTAAATTGTCTATTAGAATGATTCAAAACTAACTTGTTGCAATTTGGGATTGGTGATGGTTTCCACTGAAATTTTTCCTCGGATTCCACACCCACCCACAGCTACCTATGTGACTTCTTCAGTAACATGATCAGCAAAATAGTGAGCTGTTTATTTCTAAGCTTTTTCACCAATATTAGACTATAAAAATCAACAGTTCCTACTTTCATAATCATCAGTTTGCTGATATTTCAGTATGAGGCTTGCTAGTGGGGGTTGGGGGTGTCCTGGTCATCTGGCATAATGCACAACATGAAAATTTGCACCTGTGCACTTGTGGTCTCAGAATTTCAGCACTTCCAGAATGTACTCTTGTTGTTTTGTCACTGGTGAGCTGTCACTTATGCTTATACTAATCAAAACCTAGACAGTAAGTGTGGTGTGCAGGGCATGTCCTTATGTATGAGGGGTCACAGTAGCTTATGTGCTTTCTGACTTTGGAGTTTTGCTTATGTAAGAGGCCATTTGTTTTCAATTCCTCCTAGGCTACTTTTATTTTAAATAAAATTTTAAGTTTTATTTTTCTTTTCATTCTTAAGGTGAAACATACCCTAGACAAAAACTATAAGACTAAAAAAAGTCTAAAGTAAAAACTGGGCATGGTGATTGATGCCTGTAATCCTAGCGACTAGGGAAGTTGGTGGGAAGGATCACAAATCCAGGCCAGCCTGGGCAAATTAGCAAGACCCTGACTAAAAATAAAAAATTTAAAAAACTGGGGATATAGCTCAGTGATGGAACACCCTGGGTTCAATCCCCAGTGCTGCAGAAAAAAAGTATAAAGTAAAAAGTAAGAGTAAAAAGATCCTATCCTTTGTGTTTATTTTATGCAAATTTACATTTCATTGTATTTGCTTTGTGAGAATGTATTATTTTTACTTTTTTCCTTAAAAAAGTATTCTATTCTAGATTGTATTCTTTATAAACACATTGGGATTCAATTTGCTTCCATAAATTCTACACTTCACATCCTATGCATAAAACTTTTTCAATATTGCTGTATTAGACAAAGACTTTAGGTTGCAAGTCAAAGGAAATCAATTTGCTCTGGCTTAAGCAAAAAAAAAAAAAAAAAAAAAAAAGGAGATGTATCTGCTTGTATAGTGAAAAGCCAGGGGTGGATTAGTCTCAGACACAACTAGACATAAAGGCTAAACGACGTCTTCAGGAATCTTTTTGTGTTGTGGACCAGCTTCCTTCTTTGGTAATTTCACTCTTATTCTGCACCTTTACATCCTCTCAAAAAGCACAGCTGCTCTTACCTAATAATTCCAGCAGAAGTCCCATGACTGAAGTTCCTTAACCCAGCTGACATCAAACATCCAGGCCTGAGCTGGTCACTGGGGCCAGGGAAAGGGAATGTTCTGCTCCTTCTGCCAACCACCTGGTTCTGCTCAAGTGACCTCTTTACTGTTTCTTGGACCCACCCAGCCTGTCCTTCACTGAGGGCCACTACTCGTGTCCCCTCTGCCTCCACTTTTCTTGTAGTGTTCTCATGGCTTGCTTCTCCCTCATCCTTTCGGTTCCCACTCAGAGACCTGTCCAACCACCCTTCACTCTCTGTCCTCTGTTTTTCTTCTCTTACTTCCCAGTGTTGTAATATACTCATGTGGAGTGTCTGGATGATTTGTGTGCTTCACAGGAAGCACAAGAGCTGATACTGTGGCTCTGGCCTGAACTCAAGAAGTATTTATCAAATGAGTTAATGGAAGACTTTGCCAGGTCCCATGTACACCCATCTGTAGGTCAGTCTATCCTCAGGACAAGAAATGGTTGAGGGAATTGGTATAACCCCCAAAGGAAAAAATAACTGGGCAGCCATTACTAGGACAAGGAGCCAGAATACTAAAACGATGGTGTTCATTACAGCTCAGATCACTTTCTAAGGCAAATCCCAGGAGCGGGAATACAAAGGATATAAATGATTGGGTTTCCTGATAAGTTCTGCTTCCATATATCCCCCTATAAAAATTCTCCTTGTGGCAGACAAAATAATGCAGATCACATCAAGTCCCTTCCCAATTTGAAATTGACAGCTGCCATTGTGTGTCCCCCTAGTGTTCTGGCCCCAGCTGGCTAGGCTCAGCCTTTCTTCCCTGACCTTGGTCCCCACACTCCCTTCATATACCAGGCCCCAAAATACCAGCTTTCTTTTCTACCTTGGAATTCACTCATTCTCACCTTGGGACTTTTGTATTTTTCTCATGCTTCTTCTGCCTGGAAGGTCCTTCTCAGAGGACTTCTTGCTTGGCCACCTCCCAGTCTTCCTTCAATCCGTAGGTCCTCAAGAGGCCCTCCTTGGCCTCTCCAAGCTTACTCCCCACCTACCCTCTCCATAAGCACCCTGTGTGTTTTCTTCATAGCTTTCACTGCCCTTTCTATTTACTTGTCAATCCTCCATCTTCCCCACTAGAGTGTCAGCTCCATGAGGCCCTGTTCATTTTGGTATTTCCAAAAATCAAACTGGAATCTGGTATACTAAAGACCTTCAATAAATATATGTTGGAAAAAAATGAACAAATTACTCTCTGGGAGTGTTGTAGTAATTTATACCCCTCAGCAGCAGCAAGAATGCCCATTTTCATTTCATATTTCTTAGAATGCAGCTTGAGAGGTGGATTCTTTAGCTTCTTACTGCATGTGTGCTGGAGGAGGGGTACTAGCTCCATTTTCTTCCATCTGAACAGAGCGTGGCACTTCATGCAGCAAGGGATGTCACAAGGTCCTGGAAGGACTGTATTTTTCCATCTGGTTTAAATACAGCCTGAATCTTAACCCCCATTATGTAGGTGACCAAAAGATTCCTTTCAACTGCAACTGGACTCAGGGAACTTTCTAAAATGTTACTAAATAAAAATCAGTGAATAATCAGTTAATGTATTTGGGATGTAGAAGGGCATAATTCTGTGGTTCCTATCCCAAATTATCCAGTTGTGTTAGCATTCTGATTTTTTCTCTAATGTGTTCATTGTTACTATTAGAGTACATGTGTTTTTATATTTATTTTTTAAATTATTTTTTTCATATATTTTAGTTGTTGATGGACCTTTATTTTATTCATTTATTTATGTGTAGTGTGGAGAACAGAATCCAGTGCCTCACACATGCTAGGCAAGCATTCTACCACTGAGCCATAACCCCGGTCCCCATCCATTTATTTTTTTAAAGGAATTTTAAATTTTAAAGAGACTTGCAAAAAGAATTAATGCATATAAAAAGTATTTAATATAGAGAACACAAAAGCACCTTTTCTCAGGCAAAAATCCCCAAGACATATATCAGATTATACTAATCAAGTTTCTTTTTATCAGAAAAGAATTATTTGAATACAGAAAAATAAACTTCATGTCTTCGTCTTTTTCAAATAAACCTTCAGTTTCACCTAACATACAGATAACAATGAATTTAACAAAAACAAACAAACAAATGAGTGTGTTCTTAAAAATAAATAGCCAATACAAAGTTTTCTAATTTAAAAACAACACCATGGAAGGAAGAGGATGTGTCTTTTCAGTTCAAAGTTCCTAAACAGGTGATTTGCCATAGATTCATACAAACTAAACTTAAGAGTGGTTGGTTTTTAAATCTTTCCTGGAGTGGAAATTAAAAGAAAGTAAAAAACAAAGCAAAACAGTAACTGAAGAATTAAAGGCAGATGGGCAGACGATACGTGCACACACATACTGTTCACACATACACACACACACCCTGCCAGGTGCATTCCTTGTTTTCTGCCGGTTGTGTCACCAGTCTGTGACCTCAACCACGAAGGGCGTTTTCACTTCTATCTTGCCACTGTTGATGATGGTGCAGTTGGTGAGAGGACGGTCATGCTCATCAGTTGCCTGGAGCTCTATGGAGTGCACCACGCTCTGGAGAGAGAAAATCAGACAGGCAGCTCTGGTGTTAGTGTAATCAAAAGCCCCAGTGGGAAAGTAAGTTGTATCACTATAAAAAACCATGCACACTAAGCGTGAAAAACTTAGAAGATTCAGAAAATTATTTTATTTATGTATGTATATATATCTCATGGAATAAAATTCACCAGCTACCTTGTTTATCAGAAAACATATTGGTCTATTTCCATACTTCTTTCTTAATAAGCATTGTATAGACTCAAAAAATTAAGATACTTTTGCAAATAAAGTATTTGTATTCATCAGCTACAATCCAATGTAAAGGTTAACATGGAGTTTGAATCAGTTTCAGCTCTACCCTATACTACGTTTAGGCACAATAAAATGGTCCATAAAGCAGATTTAAAAGTAGACCTAATTCTGGATTTGCTTTTGTGTGTGTGTGTGTATGTGTGTGTGTGTGTGTGCATGCTGTTGGAGATTGAACCCAAGGCCTTGTACATGTAAAGCAAGCACTCTACCAAATGAGCTACATCCCCAGCCCTTGGGTTTGCCCCTTTTAAAGGTGACCCAAGCCATTAATCTTGAGTCTGATACTAATATAACCTGTTCAATCCAACAGTGCCCTAGAAGCCCTCATAAGCACATGCACCACTTATACTTCCCAGTGAAGGAGGGAAGATGTCACAGACCAAAAAGGCAGGCTTTTGATGAGTTTTCCAAACACATTGAATATTCATCTCAATTCCTGGACTTCAGTTGCACTGAATCAGAATAGCAGGTAGAAGATGTGGAAAATCTACAGTGATGAAACTGGTTGATTTGTTTGGATGAGGGAGGCCAAACAACTCACATGAAAATAAAACATAATGGAACATGGAAGAGGACACGGGAGTCAAGGGTGTCCAGGGCTGGGTTGGACAGACTTCAATATGGCCAGTTTAGAAGAAAGTTATTTGGGGCAACTGCTAAGGAGACGTGGTGAGAAAAGAAGAGAATGAGAATTTTAAGAAGCAGGCCTATGGGTTATGAATTGGATCCTTTGCTGTTCTTTGAGAATAACAACATAGATTTGAATTCTCTTAATGAATGTTGGTTGCTGTACTGTGTGTCCGTGAATACAACTTGATATCCGGACTAAACCACACTGGTTCAGGGCTTTTTAATATTTTAACTGTAAGAAACATATAACACAGAATTTGCCATCCAATTCATTTTTCACGTGCATAGTTCAGTAGTGTGTAAGTTTATTCACACTGTTGTGCAATTGGTCTCCAAATCTTGCAAAACTGAAACTCATTCTAAATGCCTTTCCCTAAGCCCCTGGCAACCACCATTCTAGTTTCTGTCTCTATAGATTTGACTACTTTAGGTGTCTCATGTAAGTAGACTTGTAGAGTAATTGTCTTTTTGTGACAAGTTTATTTCACCTAGGATAAGGTCCTCAGGTTTATCCATGCGATAGCACATCTTTTCTTTGTAATACTGAATAATACTCCATTTTATGAATGTATAGGACCCTGGTTTTATTTTGTTATATTATAAAGGGCTTTCTATTTACAGCCAGAAGCAAAATAAATTAAGTACTTAGCTTCTCCATGTCAAGTCTTCAGCTTCTATCCTAATGTCCCTAACATGCCATAATGTCATGCCATATATAATTTACTCATCTTTGAAGAGGTCAGTCAGCATATAAAAATGGATCTCTAACAACTCATTTAATATTAAAATGAATCACTGAAGGTACTCTCATAAATATAAAACTTTGAAAGAGGAAAAAGTAATATATCAAGTTACCATCCCATCGAGGACTTTTCCAAATACCACATGTTTGCCATCCAACCAGGTGGGCTTGGTCAAGGTGATAAAGAACTGGGAACCATTGGTGTTAGGCCCAGCATTGGCCATGCTGACCCACCCAATACCATAGTGCTTCAGCTTGAAGTTCTCATCAGGAAATGTCTCACCGTAAATACTAAAACCTGGGTTAAGATAAAAGAAAAGGGAGGAGAATGAACAGACATCAACCAAAAGTAAACTCTTCATAGGAAACAAAAGGCTTTAGTGTAATCCGTTCATAGAGCCCAACAGAAGATGAGAATGGGGAATAGATGGTCAAAGCTATGGAGAAGTGAAAGAGAGAATAAAATTAACTCTTTAAGGAAGCAGGGCCCTAGGGCCTGAAACAGACAAGCAAAAATGCCTATGATATGGCACAGGATGGCAGGTCCCCTCTGGCCTCAAACCAATGCCAAATCTGGATCATATAGGTCAATGATTTCACTCTGAAAGGAGAAGGAACAGCAAGGCAGGGTGGTATCCGAAAGCCAGATGGAAAGGTGGGTGAGCCGGCCTCGTGGCTCTACCTCTGTACTATATTCGGGTGACTTGTCCCAGGTCACTACTACCTTGGCACCCAACCAGTCACTGAGTGGACACCCTCAGCTTATTCCCACAACATCCCAGTGTAGTTGGTATTCTCAGTCCCCTTTTCACACTGGGAAACAGAGGTATAAAACTTGAAAACAGCAGATCAGAATTGGAACATCTGACTTTCTGACTCTAAAGCTGGTGCTTTTTCTTACCTCAGCACTGAGGCAGTAGCAGCTAGGATGAAAGACATTAAGCGCAAGGCTCTCAGGATGCACGAGGATGCATCCTGAGAATTGGGACCACCTGGGGATCAGCCTTGCTGAAGAATCAGCCTGTGATCTGGAATTCTAGCAAAGCAGCGGATACAGTAGAAGCCCTCTCCCATAACAACAATATGGACCATAGGGAGCATCTGCCTCATTCCTAACACCTTGAAGGCCTCTTGTGCTTTTGTATTACTGAGCTCCTTATCCACTGGTTGCCAACCTCAAAATCCTGGCTCCGTTAAAAGGACCAGAAGTAGATACCAAAGTCAAGCAATTTATAGCTGGTTGGGCAGGGACATGTGGGTGACCTAGCTGGAAAGCTCTACCCAGGGGGTCTAGGCTAAATTTAAATAGTTCAAAATTTCCTCTCAGAGAATTTTAACCCCAGACCCACATGTGTTGGGGAGGGAAAATAGAGAGAGAATAAAAATAGAAAAGATAGCAAAGTAAAGCTCAGTCACTCTTCCTGCTGGATCGTATGGTGGGACGGTGGATGCTGGTACCAAGAGGGCAGGTACTAGAGCTACCAGGTTTTCCGGTGAGTCTGGCACCTCAGCAGCTAGGATTGCTTCCACAAGCATTCTCAGCAAACCCTGTAACCTTGACGAACCTGAGCCAGCTTCTCTCCTCCATTCTGTATCCTTATACCCTATAGCATTTTTGCAAGAGCTAAAAGTACTCTTCATAAAGTGCCTGGTAAATCATAGCATTTAATGGCAACTATTTTTATTATCAAGAAATAAACCATTACAATAAACATACATAGAAATAATGACTGAAAGTGGCTTTTCTTTAAAAAGTAAGCAACTAATATCCACCCTAACCAGTATTTTCTGAGCTTAAAAATCTTAAATTTCATGTAGTTACACAAGTAATAGGTGTTCAGGAGGAAAAAGAAAGAAAAGCTTCTCCCTACATTTCAGAAGGAAAATAGTCCACAGAGCTGGGTAGTTATGATCCTCAATGAGACACAATATGCTGAGGGAGATTTGAAACTCAATAACCTTAAGTATTTGTCCTTTATTTTACTTTGTTCATGGGAATCAGTTATAATTTTGATGACTCAGCTATAACTTTTTTATTATTATTAAAAAAGCTGACAATAAAAGAAGACACTTTTGAAACAAGGGGAAAAATTCATCACGATCCTGCCACCTACACTCCAATCCTGTTATTCTGGCACCATGTCCCATCCTCTACCCCCGCCCCAACTTGTGGCCAGCTGCCACCCCAGGGCACACAGCTCTATAGTTCACCTCTTCCTTCCTATGGCACGCACTGCTTTATATTGCTACATACTAGCAGTGGAGCGGTTTTAATAACTGTGAGATATTCTGCCAAATGAATGGATCTACACTATGACAACGAACACTAAAACCATCCCATTTAGAATTAGGAAGACTCATTCATTCATACCCAAAAAGATTCTGGTAAATGAGGTCCCCAAACCTCTATCTTCTGGAAAGACTTTGAGCTGTCTTTACGGCCTTGTTTCTTAAATGGGGGAATCTGGCTGTCTTGGGTTCACATACTGACTGACTCTTGGGTTTTAGCTTGGGAAGTGGGAAAGGAGAAAGGCAAAAGATGGCGTTACCTACCACCAGTGCCATCTCCTGCAGTGAAGTCTCCTCCTTGAATCATGAAATCCTTGATGACACGATGAAAGATGCTTCCTTTATATCCATATCCTTTCTAAAGAGATTATTTCAATTGAATACACAAGTAGGAAAAAAATCCATACTGAAAGATGAACCTTCAACCCCAGTGTTTATTTGAAAATGATAAAGTGAGAAAAATCAAAATATCTACAGAATTTTATTAGGTCTTGGCAATGATTTCTCTCTCTCTCTCTCTCGCTCGCAGTACTAGAGATTGAACCCAGGGGTGTTCTATCACAGAGCCACACCCCCAAACCTTTTTATTTATTTATTTTTTAATTTTGAGACAGATTTCATTAAGTTGCTCAGGCTGACCTGGAACTAGGTGATCCTCCAGCCTCTGCCTCCCAAGTAGCTAGGACTACAGGTGTGTGCCACCATACCCAGTGACAGCAATGATTTACTGAGAGAAAGTTATCACTGGCTGACCAAAACCACAAATAAAACAAACTATGGAAAGAGAGTATTGATGTGAATAAGTAAAAACAAGAGCATTTTCACTTGTTTTCTTCCAATTTCTGGAAGCCTACAGAGGCTGTGTACCTGAATAATAAAGATTTCATAGTAAAATATGATTAAATGTCACAGATTCATTTGACATTAATTTAATACTTGTTCTCCCAGCAGCATTTTGTATTTTACTTAAAAGAAATAAAATACAATTTTTGTGTGTGTGCAAAGTTGAAGGAAATAAAATGGAGACAGACCTCTCCTGTTGCCAGAGTGACGAAATTTTCCACTGTCTTGGGTACAACTTTTTCGAAGAGGCCAATCACAATTCTGCCCACATCTCTGTCTCCAATCCTTATATCAAAGAAGACCTGCATATAATTGAAACACAGAATAGAAGGTTATAACATGGAGAAGACAAAAATACAAGCTAAATCAAAATTAAAATCTGAGGAAAGCCTGCCCATCAGTATTTTAGAAAGGAGTCATGAAGAGGCTATTAGTGAAAGGTGCTCTAAAAATGTCTGTGTCGGTATGGTTCACTTCCACTATTCATTCAACAAACATTTAATGAACACCCTCTAAGGGCTAGGCACGGTGCTAGGTACTGAGTTTCAAGTCAGTTCTACAAATACTGCAAAAATCAGGCAAATAAAGTCTTAAGAATTCTACTGCCTACTCATGCCCCAGACAAACTCTGCTGCTACTTCCTGTTCCCCAGCTTTGGGATGAAGATTAGAGTGGAATGTGTTGTTCTTTTCAAAGGTAGTGCTCTCTAATCTTGGCAGGGGAAAAAATAGTGAGGAGAGAAAGAGGCTAGCCATCTAGATTTACTTTTTTTTTTTTTTTGTCACTTCAAATACTGCCAAACTCCCAGTGAGTTCTCAACAGATGTCTGCTATCAAGGGACTCACAAAAGATGATTAAAACGTATAGCAGTCCTTCAAAAGGCCTGCCACTCAGGTCCAAGCACAGCAAGCACCGGGTCCCCAGTCTCATCCAAAAGACAGCGAGCACTGCACTCCATGCCTGACAAAGTCTTTTACCTTTTAAACTTAAGACACTCGATTCTATTGTCATATTCCCAAAGTCACCCAAGTAGAATGTGTTCTTTCTCTGTCACAGCTTAAAACAAAACACCCAAAAGTGAGGATAAGTTGCCTTTTTTGCAGATTAAGTCTTAAAAGTTCTTTTAGACTTTTTTTTTTAAACTGTTTGTTCTGAAACCAAATTATACACATTTTGCTTCCCAAATCACTGAGAGAGAGGCTTGAAAAGGCCATGGAGTCGAAGGGCATTCTATTAGAGAGTTGAGATTATATGAACCAATTTACTGTTTGAATGGTTAAAAAAGACATTCAAGAGATGGCTTTAAAAAATATAAGAAGGGTTGTCAAAGAAAAAAGATGTCTTGCAGTTTAGAAAAATCACTAAGTAAAGACTGTCAAGCTTTAGCTCAAGACAAGGACTTCTGCCAATACATCAGCACGTCTGTCACAGAGTGATGTGATATTTAGTGTTCCATGTGGCATTTTATAATCTTTACATGGCTGAAGCAGCAAAAGTTTTATTATTATTTATATAGAAGAGCTTACAGAAAGACCCTGCCCTTGAGGTAAGGCAGCACAGAAGGGTCTCATCTGCAATCAGTGGTCTTGGGACAGCATTCACGGGAACTTGGTCAGTGCAAAGCTGGTGGCAGTGAGAAGCAGTTTCTACAAAGAATTTCTAAGCCGAGGAGTAAATGCAATGTGGACAATAATGAAGCAGTCTCAGGAAAAAAAATCAGGGATGTAATCCTAAGAAACATCTTATAAGACACTTGAAAGGCCTTCCAGACTTGCAAAATCAAGGAGAAAATTACTCCTGTGAATATTTAGAAAGCAAATAAATAAATAAAATCTGGGAGAACAGCCTGAGAAGATGAAGAAAAATTGACTGTCCCAGCATAATGCTTCAATAAAAATCATATATTTTTACATATAGTCTAGTTTACCTATTGATATGATTCTTCCCCCAAATTGCAGTATCCTTCAACTTCATGAAGGAGTACAAGAAACTATAGTAGTTTTCCCAACTCTAACAGAAATGAGAAAATAAAATCTTATTTAGTTGACCAGTATTTATTAAAGATCTATGTGAAAGGTAGTGTAAAGTCACAAGGTGAACGAGAGAACCCCTGTCCTAAAGTAGTTTAAAAGAATAAGATAAGTACAAGGCAGCATGTGACAGATGCCCCAGGAATCCTGTATATCGAGGCCTGGAGTGATATTAAGGGCTGGGAGAGGACATCCTGGGAAGCAGGCCTGGAGGAGGGGAACAGTATCAGACACAAGGGTTAGCTCACCTGCCACTTATTGGAAGCAAAGCACCAAAGCAGGAAATGTGTTCTGTTTGCAGAAAAGCAATGCAGCTCTGTGACCACAGGTGAGGACAAAATCCCTGGAAGACAGCTGCCCACCAGTTCCAAAAGACAAAGAAAAGATGGTGGACTTGGAGGTTCAAGTTTTGAAGACAACAGAATGGAATGAATCGGGCCCAGCTGGGCATGGCGGCACATGCCTGTAATCCCAGCAGTTTGGGAGGCTGAAACAGGAGGATTGAGAGTACAAAGCCAGCCTCAGGAACTTAACAAGGTCCTAAGCAACTCAGTGAAACCCTGTCTCTAAATAAAATACATGAGGCTCAGTGGTTAAGTACCCTGGTACGGGGTGGGGGGGGGGGGGAAGCAAATGAGACATTGGGAATAATAATCAAATAGAGGAGAAAGAGAACCTGGAATTTTATGCCAGTTCAAGAATGACGCCATAATGGGCTGCAATGGGGTGGTGCCCGAGAGAATGTAAGGATGGTTGACAGGGGGACACCTTTATATAAAGGGGAGAAGGAAGGGGGAGGAAAAAGGAAAAGGGAAGGAAACACAATAGTGGTGTCTCTGTGGGCTTTACCTACATCCTCTTATAAGATGAATCCTCACCACATCCTGGGGAGGGAGGAGTATTATCACTAATTTATAAATGAGGAAAGTGAAGGTGAGAGAGGTTAAGTGATTTACGAAGGTTGAGTGTTAGAGCCAGAATTTCAACCCAGGCTACCTATAGTTAAACTGTGACATATCACCAGTCCAGCTCTAGCAGGCAAGGCAAAGGAATCCCAAAAGGTTACAAACTGTTTTTAGTTCCCCCGATCCCAGTATATTGTCAACACAAGCAGACAGTCAAGAAATGTTCAATGTCAAGTGAAATGAAATAGGGGGGGCACACCCCTAGACAGGAGTGTCTGGGGGGCTGCCAGATAACTCATTTCTGAGTGTCCCTGGGAACAAAGTCCAGTGCTGGACAAGAGTGAGCTACAAAGTTTTTACCCTCCTGGAGTCTAAAGTTCAGTAGAAGAAAAAATATACACATAAATGCTATGATATAATGGGCAACTGGGTTTTATGAGACGAGTCAGATAAGGATAAGTCCTGGGAAGGGCTGGTGATTGTCTGTGGGGATCAGGGTGTTCCTGAAAAGCTGGGACTTGGACACTGTACTGCATTTTGTGGGTGGGCAACTCATCACTTTTTCCCCCTCAAGCCATCCTTGAAAGTCATTTAAAAATTGGGGGGCACTGAAGGTTAAAGGAAGTAGGGAAGCAGAGAAGAGGCACTCACACAGCCTGATCCAAACCCCTATGGCATTAATACAGCCAAAATCCTTCCAAAGTAACTGGCAAAGTACCAAGCACATGAGCGGTGATGTGAAGGAAATGGTTAAAGCCAGATCCACCACTAAATGTCCATAGACCCTTGGCAAACTAAACTCTGAGCTCTTATTCCTCATCTGTAAAATAGATGATGATTCCTTGCTATCACAACAGGATTAATAAGATGAACATTTCTAACATCAACCAGTGGCCTCTTAAACCAGGGACCATAGACTAAGCATTTTACCTGCTTTAGCACATTTAATACATAAAACCCTTACAGGTAGGTATTATTATTATTCTATCTCCTTTTTACAGAGGAGAAAGCAGAACCCCAGATATTAGATAACTTGTCCAAGGTCCCTTAGATGTTGCCACGTAGCCACTATCGGCTAACATGTTTGCAAGCTGTGTAGCTAGAAAGATGGCAGTGCTGTTTGGCATGCTGGATCCTGCACAGAATTCATCACATTTACTGGAAAATTCAGGAAATCAAAATTCAGTGGATTCTGAGTCCAGTGATTAGAGCCCCACCTGAGTCCTTGCAGGGCAGGAGGACGCTGCCAGGTTGGCTCAGCAGCAGGATCCGTGGACGAGGTTAGTGCCACTAACAGTCCTTCGGGAGAAACCAGCACCTCCTATCTTTTATTTACAGATTCTTATAAAACACTGCTGAGAAAAACAATGTACTAGAGCAGTGGCCAATTAATCTACTTTTCTGCACTCAGATAAATTATTTTTAATATCTTCATTTTCCAATATATTTAGTTGCTTAAATATGTTCACTAAAAAAGTAATTCAAAAGAGTCCAATTGGTATAAGGCTTGTCTAGGCAATTAACTTTCAGAACTTGATACATTTTGTGGTGGAAAAAATAAAAGATATGTTAAGTTACAATTCCAAACAAGAGTGGAGCACATGAAAACTCTCCCTCAGTGACAGTGCCCTAGACCTGGGCTCAGCATGTCCCAATTCTTGCCCTCCGGCAGCTTTCTCCTTGCTCAGCTTTATTCTAGTGGTTCCCAGCCCAGGCTGCACCTCAGAATTCACCAGAATGTTGTTAAAAGGTAAACGACTGGGACTGGGGTTGTGGCTCAGTGGAAGAGCGCTTGCCTAGCATGTGTGAGGCACTGGGATCAATTCTCAACACCACGTATAAACAAATAAATAAATAAAGGTCCATCAATAACTAACAAAAATTTTTTAAAAAAGGTAAATGACTGGGCTCCTTCCCCAAAGATTGTGATTGGCTAGCTCTCCATCAGTAAGTCTAAAAAGTTTCCCAGTGAAACTTGTTCCCAAATATTCCAGGGGATTCACAGTAAAAATTTACTCATTGTTAATGTGAAATTCACATCTCATTGGGCGTCCTGCATTTTATCTGACCATTCTACCCTCTCTCCCTCACTCTGTCTACACTGTCAGCATCTCCTGTTAGTTATACCTCTAAAACATATTCCAAGTTCCTCCTTTGCTCCCCATTCCCAAGATTTCCACCTTAATCCAAACCACTGTCTGGACTCCAGTTCACACTCCACTGACTGACCACAGGGATTTCTTAAAAGCAAATATGAAATGATATCATTCCTATGTATAAAACCCTTCAGCAACTAACTATACTTAAAATAAGACCTCAAATTATAAGAATAATTACCTCAATGCCCACACTCCTTACAGCTGTTAAACCCCTGAATGATCGATGAGCACCCCTCCCCCACCTCATGTCAGGCCACTGTGCTCTCATCCCTGCCCCAAAGCCACACAGTACTCTGCATCCTCTGAACACACTGATGGCTTTCCTGCCTGGAAATCTTTGCACCTGTCCTTTACTACCTAAGTCTTTCCCAAACTGATTTTTTCTCATTCCATCAGATATTTTTCTTTCTTTTTTTTCCCTTTTTTTATTGGTACATTATAGTTGTACATAATGGCGATGTTTACTGCTACATATTCATAGATGCACAAAATACAACAATATATTTTGGCCAATATCATTCCCCAGTATCTCCCTTTTCCTTCACCTCCAGCCTCTCCTTGGTCCCTTTCCTTTACTGTTTTCCCTTCCAATTTCATGAGATACCCACCTTTCTCTTCCCTTTTCCTCTTTAGCTTCCACATATGAAAGAAAACATATGACCCTTGACCTGCATCAGGTGTTTTCAAATATCACCCAACCTACATTAGTTTCATTTCCTTCAACATTTCATAGTTGTATAAATTTTATGTTTATGGTTTTCAACAACCAAGAGACAGAAATAGTACCTGCAAACTGAAAGAAACCCTTTGAGCTCTGTGGCCCTCCACAAACCAGTTGCAAAGCTAGATCATGGGGCTGTGAGTAGAATCAGAGCTTCTCAGAGGAACCAGGCTGAGTTTATCAACCCTGCCTGCAGCATGGCCAAGGCTTTCAGTTCTCTTCCCTTACATCAGACGTTGGGCTGAACCTCCCTCTCCCACACCTGTTGTCCTCCCTGCTCCTTGGGTGGCATCTTCCATGGAGGATTTAAGGATGCTAACTAGTTTAAAGGTATCATTTTCACTGACTACCCCTGCCTGCTTGTTAAGACCACTTTAATCTGCCCACACCGCCCTCCAGATTCCAAGACACGACTGCCGGTGGGTTTTCTAGAAGTGGTGATCATGGGCACCGCAATATTACTCTCTCTCTCTCTCTCTCTCTCTCTCTCTCTCTCTCTCTCTCCACCTTCCCATTATCTTCTAACCTTAGTAAAACTCGCTGAAAATAAAACTAAAGCGGCGTTAAGTATTCTAAGTATCAAGTCGTGAGGACGCAATTCCAGGCAGAAACATGCCCCCAACAGAGATGAAAAGTTAGGGTTAGGTCATCTAAACTCAGGGTCCAGCCCAAAGTTTAAAAGTCATCCCAGGGGAGGATGACAGTTCTTAAGTGGAGAGAGAGGGGAGGGAAACAGGGAGGAGGGAGAGGAGAAGGGCATTCAAGGCCAGCTTGGAGTTCGGCTCTTCCAGACCCAATGACATGCGTGGCGGGCGGCCGGGCCGCGGTCACTCGGTTGCTAGCGCGTCTCTACCGCCCGTCCCCTCCCTCTGCATTCTTCCTGCTTTGTTCCCAAGTCCAGGCCACGCCGAAGGAAGTACTGGAGTTGTCTCCTCCCAGGAGAACTAGGCTTCCGACTCCAGCGCAGTAACGGCGGACCACGACCCCAGAGACTGAGTACAAACAGCAGGCGACAGAGGCAGACTAGCCTGGTCCCAGAGCCCCGAGTATCCCGGAAGAGGGCCGCTCCTCCCACGCGAGCAGCCCTCTACCACCTACCGCACCGCCACTTCCAGTGTCCCCGTGCCCTGGAAGCCCCCTCCTCCCGGCCGACACAGAAGTCCCAGTATCCAAAGCATCACCATCCCCCAGCCCACAGGAGGGGAAGTGGCTGCCCGCCGTTCGGTCACCTTGGCTGTCACCAAAGGGCCTCGCTTGCGGTTGCCCGAGGAGCCCGAAGACACGAGTGCGCTGAGCCCCAGGCAAAGCAGAAGCGGTAGCAGCAGCCGGGGACCCAGGCCCATGGCGAGCGTGGAAGTGGCAGGGATGGCACAGGCGACCTCAGGCTCCTGGACAGTTGGCAGGACTCCTGGTCGGCTGCGCCTGCGCGCTTCCAGTTGGAGAGGGGGGGGGGGGCGCGGGGGGGGGGGGCTGCGGACGGGTTGGGGCGGGGACCCAGGGCGCGCTCCTCCCAAGTTTGTTCCCGCGACCTGAATTTGGGATTCTGACGAACGCGCGCCGAGGGCGTAGTACCTGAGAGGCGCTGGTCCCCAGCGTTCCAAGCTGCAGGCTCTGCCAGGGGAACCTGCGAGCTGAAGGTTGCGCGCCGGGCCATCTCCGCGAACTTAACCACGTCGCGTGTTAAACCCAGGCAGAAAGTCAAGCACGCTCCGGGTCTTCCTCGAAATTTGAACGCCGCGGGGCAGGAAACTGCGGCTGGATCACAGTGGGCGAAGCAACTTCAGAATGTGTAGTCAGAATCTTAAAGCTTTGGATGCCTCTCAAAACTTTGGGGATTTCTGGGAGGGTGGAGCTCTGTTTCACATGATGAATATCTTCTTACTGAAATGATCAGGTTTGGAGGAACTTGGAAATTGCCGGATTCATAGTTCCTTTGCCCTGGAAAAACGTCCAATTAGGTTTGAGTATTTTATTTGGGGGGCTGATTCTGTGATCTTATCTACACTGTTTACAGAGTAGGCCTAGAAGCAGGGCCAAGTAAAATTCTTTACTGTGAAAACAAAGCGGTCAAGCTGACTTTTAGGTATATCTGTAGTATGAATTTTTTTTTACAAAATTATGCTAAGGAAGGTTATTGAATATGATAGAGAAATTCCCATTGTATTTTTAAAAGTAAAACTCAGGTTGCAAAACCACATAGGAATCTGATTTCGACTGTGTAAATAAATGCATGCAGGCATTTTAAAAACTAAAAGAGATGCACCAAAACATTTGCAGTAGCTATGGAGATAGAATTATGAATTTTTGCTTTCTTTGTAATTTTCTGATTTCTCAGATGTTCTACAGTGGAGCACATAAGTATTTTGTAACCTGGAGAAGATTATTTTAAAGAAGATTATTTATCATAGATTTGTTTGTTTGTTTGGTACCAGGGATTGAACCCAGGGTGCTTAACTCCTGAGCCACATCCCCAGCCCCTTTTTATATTGTATCAGAGACGGTAAACTCATTGCTTTTTGAATTATAAATTCAAAAGAACTTTTTGGTTTTAGAGTAACATCTCTAAAATTTAAGTAAAAAAATTAATAGTGTTCTCTGGATTTTTTAGGGGCCGGTGCCCTGACCTTTTTTTTTTTTTTTTTTTTTTTGATTTTATTTTTTAGTTGGGGTTGGACACATGCCTTTATTTTATGTATTTTTATGTGGTGCTGAGGGTCGAACCCAGTGCCTTGCACACACGTGCAGGACGAGCACTCCACTGCTGAACCACAACTCCAGCCCCAGGTTTCCTTGCTTTAAAGTCAACATTTTTCCTGGATAAGCAGATGGGATTCCTAAGAGTATATCTAAAATGACACTGAAACCATTTATTATAGATAAAAGGAGTAACCACTGCTTTTTAGGGATGGGTAAAACACGTTGGAACTATTTTTATAATTCAGTACGGTGAAGACCTGATGGCTTTTCTCCTCAACTCCACCCCCAGTAAAGAAAGAATTCCCCTTGTGCGGTAAGCTAAGGGTATCTCTCAGAGCACTTATCCTACTGGGTGATTGTATATATTTATCTGAGCTGCTCATCACTGTAATTGCCTTTGTCTGTCTCTGTTATCAGAGACAAGCACCACCAGAGTGGTGGGATGGTGCCTGTTTTTATTCCTTTTGATGACTCCGACTTATTGCAATGTCTGATATATAGTGGTAGATACTGATAAGCTAAGGACTTTCTATACTACCTCACCATCCAAAGGCACAGAAATAAAATATTCACCAGAACTCTAGAAACTCCTCTTTTTCCACTTCCCATTTACTAATACTGTTTTCTTCCCAACTTAACTTCAGTTATGACTTCTGCCTTCTTTTCTTTCAACTTTGTATGAATGGAACCTTCTAGTTGTTTGTTGTTGTTTTGATTTTGCTTAAATTTTTGTGAAATTTCTCCATGTTTTTGTCTGTGGCTATTTGGTGCATAGCACAAGGTAGAGACAAATTCAATTTTTTCCCCTATGGATACCCACTTGTCCCCACCCAACTAATTAAAGAGTTTCTCTTTTATTCACTGCCCCATAGTTCTGCTTCTGTCCTGGAGCAAGTGTTCAGATATGCATTGGTCTGTTTGTGGGCACCCAATCCTGTCCCATTGGCCTTTTTGTCTATCTTGGTGCCAATATCACATTGTCAGAATAGCTATATAATAAATCTTCATAATCAATGGTACATATCCTCTCAACTTTGGTCAATAAATTATTGGCTACCATTGACCTTTTCCGTGTCCATATAAATATGAGAATCAGCTTGTCTGTTTCCACATACTGGGATTTTGATTGGGATTGCATTGCATCTATAGATCATCTTGGTAGAACTTGGCAAATTTACAATATTGAGTCTTTCAATTCATGAACGTTTTTCCCCCCTTGCTAAGAATTGTTTTAGCTATTCTGGGTCTCTTATTTTTCCAAATGAATTTCATGATTGCCTTTTCTATTTCTATAAGAATGCCATTGGGATTTTAATAGGAATTGCATTAAATCTGTCTAATGCTTTTGTTAGTATGGCCATTTGGACAGTATTAGTTCTGCCTATCCCAGAGCCTGGGAAAGCTTTCCATCTTCTAAGATCTTCTTCAATTTCTTTCTTTAGTGTTCTGTAGTTTTCATTGTAGAGATCTTTCACCTCTTTTGCTAGGTTGATTCCCAAGTTTTTTTTTTTTTTTTTTTGAGGCTATTGTGAATGGGGTAGTTTTTCTAATTTCTCTTTCAGTGGATTCAATGCTGATGTATAGGAATGTGTTTGATTTTTAGGTGTTGATTTTATATCCTGATACTTTGCTGAATTCATTTATTAGTTCTAGAAGTTTTCTGGTGGAATTGTTTTGATCTTCTAAATATAGAATCATGTAATCAGCAAATAGTGATAGTTTGAGTTCTTCTTTACATATTTGTATCTCTTTAATTTCTTTCTTCTGACTAATTGGTTTGGCTAGAGTTTAGGACAATGTTGAATAAAAGTGGTAAAAGAGGGCAACCTTTTTTTGTTCCAGATTTTAGAGGGAATACTTACAATTTTTCTCTGTTTAGAATTATGCTGGCCTTGGGTTTAACATATATAGCTTTTACAATGTTGAGGTATGTTCCTACTATCCCTAATTTTTTTAGTGTTTTGAACATGAAGAGGTGCTATATTTTGTCAAATGCTTTTTTCTGAATCTATTGAGATGATCATATGATTCTTGTTTTTAAGTCTATTGATATGATGAATTTCAGTGAAATTAAGTTTCAGAAGTAGCATAGTATGCAATGTTCATGAGGCAGGTAAAGAGAAGCTAGAAGCAAAAATTCACAGGAAGAGTGGGAGAGGAACTGACAGATATTGGTTGTTGGTTGGAGAAAGGGTGGAAAGAGAATCTAGGAAAACAGACAAGTGAGAGGAGGAATACAAAAAAAAATAAGAATACAACAAAACTGCAAAATACCATTCATATATTATGTCCTCCATACACTGATACATAAAAAACACCCTGTCCAAATATGGTAGAGATGTTAGAGAATAATAAAATAAAATAAATCTTGATGGAAATTAAACTCTGTCAGTGTTCAAACGTTTCTCAGCCCTGACTTTGAGGTCTCACAGGACCACCAGGCCCAGCTCAGCCCTTGCAGACCCAGGCGCTAGCCCACCAATCTGGGTTTCAAATACCCCAGGCTCCACCATGCTGCAGTCCCAAGATCTCAACACTGTTCTAAGTTTCAGAGAGACCACAAGGGATACCCACACACAAAGGAGCAACCCTGAGAAGCAACAAGATGGGGGCCACCAGTACTCCCAGCAAACATACCCCAGGCACAGCCAAATCCACAGATACCTCCCCCCCCCACCACCCTCCACTGGACCTCCAAGTCCTGATCTGAGTTCCCAGACAGAGGCGGCTTCTGACAGAAAATCTGCTAGCACCCTGGCCCCTGTGGACCTGCCTGGAGTCCCAAAATGGATGCAGCCATATGCAACCAAACCTGTAGGCTCCCTAGCAACAGACCTCTGGGCGGTGGTGGCAGCAGTAGTCGTGGGGTTGGTGGCAGCTGTAGTAGGACAGTGGCAGCATGCTGTGAGGGCAGCATCACCCATGCAACTTCTGGGGGTGGGCAGCAGCACCCAGAAAGAAGACCTCCAGGTGACCTCAACCTCAAGGCAGCAGCAGCAGTGGCAGCAGCATAGGCAGTAGCAGTGCAGGCTGCAGTGGCAGTGGCCTCAGAGATAGTGGCATCTGAGCCTAGAGAAAAGACCTCTGAGACCTGTAGCAGCATCTGGGGCAGTGGTGCTTATGGCCTTTCTTAATTTCTACCAATAATATTTTATAGCTTTCTGCCAACAGTCGTATGCCTATTTTATTAGATTGATTTCCAAGTGTTGTTTTTTCATGCTATTGTCAATTATACTTTTTTTCACCATTTATTTTCCTGTTGTCATACTGGCAGAAAGTTAATTTTATATATTAACCTTGTATATACCAAATTTGTTATTACTTACTTATTTATAATTTATTTGAATTATGTATGATTTTCTTCACAGAAAATTATATGGTCCATGAAAAGTAACAGTTTTATTTCTTCTTTCATAGTTTTTATACCTTTTATTTCTTTTTCTTACCTTATTACACTAGCTAGGACCTATAGTATAAAAGGAAGTGGCAAAAGTGAGTCCTTCTGTTGTGGATTAAATTGTCCCTGAAAAAGACATAGTGAAGGGGCTGGGGCTGGGGCTCAGTGATAGAGCACTTGCCTAGCAAGTGTGAGGCACTGGGTTCAATTCTCAGCACCACATATAAATAAATGAATAAAATAAAGACACAGTGAAGTCTTAAACCCCAGTGTTTGTGAACAAACGGGACCTTATGTGGAAACAGAATTTTTTCAGATGTAATCAAAT